AACAGCAGCTTCCCAATTCTTTTTCTCTAAGGTGTACAGTCTCATAGCTGCTTGTGCATCCTGAATCTGAAAGAACAGAACAAACAGGAGGCTTAATGAAACATAGCTGATGTGGTTTTAGAACGTTACTGTTAAGAAGCAGTTAAATCTTCAGTCATTTTACTACATCCTTTCAATTAATATTTCATAATCTCTTTTGAGCTTTAGGTTGTGTGCCTAGCGGCAGGGAATGAATATGTACTCAGATTGCACAGCCCACCACCAGGCTATGCACTTCTCTTTCTGATTGTGACTTGGAAAGCCATAATGAAAAAACAGTCTTGTTACAGTATCTTGGAGATGCCATCACAATTTCCCCTGCTTCTTCAGTTCATTCCCCTATTGTATCCTCCTGTCCACCAAAAGAAAGAAACTAACTGCCGAGATTCAGTAGTAGGCTCTCGCACTATTTTTATCCAACCCGCCATGGTACAACAGTGCAGAATGCTGCTTTAAAAGTAAGCAGTCAATACTCGAGAATTACCTTTTTCCCTTAGAAATCTTAAAATAACAAGAATTAATATTTAAACAGAATACAGTTGACTTGTGCAAAAGAAGTTTATGAAAATAAAGAAATAATCCAAGCAGTATGAAACACATAATGGTAAGCAAGCTTAGATGGCAATCTTACTGCATGACGGCGTCCAGGCAGAGCTTCCTAACTTTCCTTGAGAGGCTAGAATGAAGCCACAGCATTCTGGATTGAACCCAGATCCTGGAGCTAATGTGTCATACCTTGTAGATCTACCCAAAAATTTATGTTCTGATGAGATACATACCGAGCAGTGCTCTGATGTCTGCACTTGAACATTTAGCAGTCTCTCACAGAGCAGTTTCAATGATGGCCGTCCACTCTAGAAATAAGAAAGACAGAACCACGCTGTGTTGCACTACTTGAAATACATAAATACTAGTTTAAGTGTATTCCTCAATAAAGTATAGCACATTTCTTGCTACTTCACCAGTAGAAGCAGAGTACTTCATGAATTATAAGATTTACGCATGCACTGCTGAGAGGATTTTACACGTATTGCCATAACCCTCAGATTTATGTTTGGGGTGCTCTGTTGTGAAAAAGAAAACCTAAGTATATAGCTATGAAACTTAAAATATCTCCCTATAATCTGAACCTTTACTCTTCTAATCTAAGCAGAAACTTGAAGCCATGTATTTTTATGTCACTATGGAAAAGATACCATGAAAATGATGAGCCTTACTATAAGTAGAACTGTAGTGTCTCATTGTGCTATCCAGAAGAGCATTATGAAGACCATGCAAGTGCTATAGAATAGGAAAGCCACTGAATTTTGTGCCCAGGTACTACTGGTAACGTTGGTATTGAACTAAGTAACTTGCTGATATATTTCAAACACTAAATAAGCATTTAACTAGACTAGTATTTTCAAATGACAAAAGGGAGGCATCCCTGTTTCAGGTAAGAAAGAAGGAACAGGGTCAGGTAGGAGCAAGTGTAGGAGGAGAGAGCCAGCAGCTGGGACTCAGTTAATTGAGGTGCACATTCCCGTCAGTCTCTTACCTTGACTCTCTCTCTGAAAGGCTTGTATCTTTGTGTGTCACGTATTTTCTTCTTAGGATGATCAAGAAATAGGACCTAGAAGAGATTACTGTTCCAGTCCACAGTGTGCCATTGAATGAAACTTTATACAGCTGAACATACGGCTTCCTGCTGTTCCCTTCCATCCATTATAAGAGGTAGTTCAAAACCATGAATGGACAAGACCAAAATCATCCAGACAGTGGCTGGATTCAGGAACCACAGTTCTACTTAGTATCAGAAACAGAAATGAATCTGGAGGCACCGCCTGTAGAGACTACCTGCGGTGCTGGTACAGCATGACGTAAGATACCTGACTCTGGTAACAATAACCAGACTGAACTTTGGGGATTAAGCAAAGCATGCAAACAGTTTTGTTTTGGTTTTTTTTAATAATTCTGTTTCTTTCCTGGCTTTTCAGTAAGCAGATCAGTGTTAATAGCGACAGAGTTTAGAAGTGGAAGAACTTTAGTGGGCAGGTGGCCAGGGCTATACTTGGTACAGCATGAAATGACAAGAAACTGAGGTAACAGTGATAAAGCTGTAGTTTCTAGGAGTTCAGGTGTGTTCATCTGGTCCAGAAAGATGTCTTGGAAATTTAGTCAATCTTAAGTTTTTGGAGCCTTGTCTTCAAAATAACAAATCTGCAGCTATGTACCTTTAGATCATTGCGTAAAGCATGTCCAACTAAAATCCTTCCATTCAAGATGTCAGCGACCTCCTTCTGAACAGTTTTAAAATCTTCACCTAGAAATACCACACAAGGAAACACTTTGCATTATACTCGTAAGACTAATAACCAAGCTACGATTAAAACACTGCATATTTTGTGAAAGCAACTGTATCCTTGGGACTGCAGTTACACAAATTTGTGCAGTACACTAAATCCCCTGCTTGTTACAAGAGCATAGCACTAAAAGGAAGCATACTTCCTATTATTCCCATACTATAATCCATGAGATAATTTCTTCTCTGTAGTACTCTGTAAAAAGTACTTCTTTCCACAGTTTTTCTCAGCATTCAGACTACATTTTGTTATCTGTTTCCCAAAATAAGTCTAAAACGTATCCAAGCTCAGCCAACGAGGCTTCTGTGATAGCCTGTTAAATTCTCCCTCCTTAAAGAACTTTTTTGGGAAAAAACCTCCTACCTGTATTTATGTTCTCAGGGCGTATGCCACTAACAGCTGTTCTGTAATCCGTCACCTCTTCTGTAGGCTTGACATACTTGTCATAAATGCACTTTCCAAATTGGTTCACGAGGGACACGCGAGCCACAATACTGTCTTCACCCTTGGGTCCCACTCCCACCATCTCACAGTCCATGGCTACAGCTTGTGTCAGCCTGAAAGAGAAAGGACAGCTTGGTGACACCTCTGTTACAGGGACCGCAGAGTGGAGTTCACAAGGTTCACATGTTGATACAGACAGGGAAAACTCGGCAGTTTGTCTGTCAGCAGTCTCAGGAAGATGTCAGCTTACACTGTGCACCAGCAAATCACAGTTATTAGATGTTATTATTATCTCGACACCTCTGCTGCCATCCTTCCCGCTGGAATGCCACTCACCCTTCAGAAGCCTTTTCTTTCACCAGCACCTGCTCCACAGACTGTTTGGATTGGCCTGTTTCAAGTCCGAGATTTCTTCTAGCAATTTTTGCTGCTTCAGGTCCTATTGCTGCTTCAATATCTTTCGGATCAATGTCATCAAACCAGATTTCAGCCCTAGTGAGTACAGATTTAATTACATTCAACGGTCTTAAAGCACTCTTTCATCTTTATATTGTAGGAAAAGCTTATTTATTTTTTAAATTAAGCAATTAGCTCTGTGAAAATTAGTCTAGTACTGTCACCTATGCAAGTTAGTTGCTGTATCTGGGGAGCAGTGGCAGCATGCATCTTATTTCTCCCAAAATTTAGTCTGGAAGAGTGCAGCTGTTTTGAATGTAGTGCTCTGTGCAACTTAGGTACACATCCAAAAAGTAGTATTCACGTGCATGTATGATGCCTGAAGTACTCACTCTTTGGGTTGCTGCTCCGCATGTTCTTTGGCTTTCCTCCTCTTATGTTTAATATCACCTTTCTCCTTTAAAATATTGCCATTTTCCTTTTTTTCTTTACAGCCTTTCGCACCGCTTTTGGTGCCGTTTAAATTCTTATCCATTGCGACCTTCTTGGATTTTGGCTTAGCCAAAGGAGGACTGTCTTTTGCAGAACGATTGTCCATTTTATCTGTGGATTTGGCCTTTACCACGTTCCCGTTCCCATTGATAGCTGGGACTTCTTGGCTATCGCCCGCTCTGAGTGGCTGCTTCTTTTTGGTGTGTGTTTGACACGTAGAGAGGGGCTTGTTGGAGCTATTCGCCTTTTGTTTCAGTAGCTAAAAAGACCAAAAAAAAAAAGGATTATCTCCCTCTGGTTTTGACCCCGCCATCATTCCCGAGGCCAAGTGGCCCTGGACTCTCTAGCTGGCTCTAGGTGAATGACCTGCCACGGGACGTCCCCGATCCCTGCCCGCACCACTTAATTTATTGACACAAAGCTTATTATTATTGTTTGGTTTTAGTGTTTTGTTTTTTTTTTTTTTTTTCAGGGGCCTTTTTGCAGAAAAAAAAAAAAAAAAAACAACAAAAAAACAAGGGGCAGAAAATACACCAGCATGCAGGGGACATAGATCCGGCATTTCAAAAATTAGGTTTGATGTGTTGCTCTGGACTATTTTGAAACAGTATCGGCCCTTATCTCACTAAATATTTTACAGCTCTGCCACCTGAAATCCCTAGAGGAGTGCCCATGTTGCCCATTAACTCACTCCAACAGAATTAGCCCAGGCGATATTGTCTGACTTTGGCCGATGACACCAAATAAATTTTAGGCAGAGAGTGGACAGTGAGCACAGAAGTCCATTAACACCGCGCAGCGCCGCACCGGCCCGGCGGGGAACGACGACCCGCGGTTGGGTTCCGGGGTGGGGAGAGGGGCCCGCCGCCCCTCTGAGGGCCTGGCAGCCGCTGGGGGTTTAACCCCGCCGCATGGCGGAGGTGTGGGGGCCTGTCAGGGCACAGGTTGAACAGCACGGAGCCTCTTCCCTCCCCCGTCTCCCCCTCTCAATGGCCCCATGTGTGTTTGGCTGCGAAGATTGGCCTAAAGCTCGTCATTACCGGCGCTCTTTGGCTGCAGTAAAGTTGCAAACATTGCGCAAAACCTCCCTCCCTCCAGCTGTTCCTGTAAAGCCTCCGGCTGCCGGCCGTTCCCCCCCGGCTGCCCCTCTCTGCAGAGGATCAGCTCCCCTGTTTGTTTAACCCTGCACCCTTCCCTTCCGCTCCACGTGATGCCTTGGGCCAAACGTCGCCTCCATCACCCCTGGGCCAGCGCTGACTGCGCCGCGCTGGTTGCAACTCCTCCAACATGATCGTCGTCAGCTTGACGATCCGGGCGCTCGTGATGCTCCCCTTGGGGTTCTGCTGGCCGTCGGCTTTCCAAGAGGTGAGTCTGACCTCCAGAAAATGCAGTTTCCAGGAAGCCTTTTTTATTTCTAGGAAAAAAAAAAAAAAAAAAAAAAAAAGACACAACAGAACGTGTTCTAAGCCAAAATCCATCAAACCTCACTAATCAAGAAGATAAAGCTGTTTCCTCTGGGTGGCTGATGTGCAGCCCATGCTTAGTGCAAAAGAAAGCCATGAGAACTTGGCATCGGTACTTGTTGAGTTGTTCGCTGGCGTTCCTTCCAGGTTAGGTTCAGTTAAGTGATAGTCTTGTGTCCATTTGTTTTTCTTGAAAAAACATAAAGCTATTCTTCTTCTTGCAGAAATTTCTCAGCGCTTTGGATGTGGAAGATGTTTTCTCTTATTTTGGAACCAGCTCGGTGACTGATGGTATGCAGGGCTCCTTCCTTCTTGATTTTGGAACACATCTGTCAGTTTATTTCTAATCCTGTATGTTTGATAATGCTAAGAACACTTAGTAACAAACCCTGATTTGACAAGCATTTAGCATTTCTGAGTCACATTTCTCAGTGAGGCAATCCATGTTTCAGTGTGAAAGTGGTTGAAGAACTGGGTCGGTATTTAAAATCTGCTGAAGGAGATATGATAAATCTTTTTGCACATTTCTCCTGCAGTCCTTCTTCTCTGAATTGGTATTTTTTCTATGAGATTAACTGATCCAGGTTTTCTGAGTGAGAAGCTTTAGACTAAGAATAGTTTAAATGCATTTGATATTTTTTTTTTAACATGTGGAAGGACTGGTATTATGGGTCAGGATTGGTGGTAGTTCAGAATAAAGATATGTTTTAAATTCTCAAATCCTGAAAGCAAGGATGTTGTCTGCTTGTGAGTTCACCTAGTGCTCATCCCAGTGTCTCTGTCTGGATTATGATAATTCTCACTCAGCAATACTTAACGTCTGAGCAAGTGAAACTGTCTCAGCCTTTGTTAAATTAACTGTTCTCCTTATCGAGAGAGCAAAAGTGCCGATAAATTAGGAGTCAGTTTCAAAGCTGTTGTGCGTTCCTAATCAGATTATCCTCACTTTAGAATACATGAAAGCATAGAAGTTCATTGACACAATGATCCCGAAAGGCCACAGTTGTCATTTGTATTTTTTCTTAGGGAGATAGATCATTACATTTGTTTTCTGTGTATGTTTCTCATAACTGTTCCCCTTGTTCTGGTCTTGTTTCATTTCTTTCAGTACCCGAGTTTGTTGTTGCTGAGCCAACTTGCCCTTGTAAAGAAGAACAGATTGGGCTGTCCTGTCGGATTCAACATTGCTCCATTGAGGCCTGGGGAGAGCTCTATGCCTTTGAATTTCTAGAGGACCATGCCCTCCTTTCCTCTTCCTTTGTGAGCAATCAAGTGGTGAACTCTTCCTTTAGCTTACTGAGGCGATTCTCAGGCAACTGCTTTGCAGGTGGAAATCCACTGCGACCTCCCGGGGCTCAGTGTAGAGTCACTTACTGCGAAGGGCAGCTGGTGAGTATGCACTGAACTTATTCTTACAAGCGTTTACAGCCTTTGTAGGTTTGCAGCTTGATGCACCAAACGTGTGTGAACCATCCACTTAATAAATCTGAGCATTAAAAAGGAGAAACAGGAAGGATATGGCACACAGTTCTCCATCGATAACAAATGTCTTTGGAATAACTTAGAGATGGAATTTCATCTCCTTTAGCAAGGAGTCGTCATTGCAGATGAGGAAAAGATTCATATCAGGCCTGTCAGAAACAAAGATATAGCCCTGCTGAAGGACCTCGGCTTCTCCAGACCCCATATTCTCTTCAGAAGTGCCACGAGAGAGGCAAATACAGCAAGAGGTAATGTACATGGGGAGGAAGCCCTGCTTGTTCTTCTTGGAAGAGCTATCTCCTGGTAGTCAGGTTGCTTGCATGAGCTCAAAGGAATAATTTGTATCTACAAATATATGAGTATACTTAAATATATTTCTCACCTCACTGAGGTGTGACTAATATGTTTTCATTTAGGTATTTGTTATTTTGATAGCTTAGGCGTGTCACTAAGGATGCTGGCAGGTGAAAGAAAGCAACAGAAGTGGTAGACCTGAGCAAGCAACTGGAGTTGTTTTCCAGCTGGATTATTCTGGTCATCCAGGAAAAAACAGTGGATCTGTAGGACCTTTTATATTGTCCTGCACGTTAAACTCCCTGTGTGCCTTTGTGCTGTTCGGCAGGGTGGTTTCCTTCTCGCCTGCAGAAGAGGGCTGAGGGAGCTGTCAAACATCTGGAGCTTATGGTCGTAGCAGGTCCAGATGTTTACTTATATCACAAAGAGGACACGGAGAGATATATTCTCACCAACCTGAACATTGTGAGTAGCTTTCTGTTCGGATTGCTGTGCCAGTATGAGAGCTCACACTCTCACAGGCTGTGTCCCAGGCACACGGACCTCTGTGAGTGCACTTTCAGAGATGTTCATGCTTACCTGCTCCTCGAACCAAGCACTGCTTTATGTGCAGCGTGTTCCTCTCTGCTTCTTTTGGCACTGCATAGCAAGCTTTCCCTTGTACAAGGAGCTGCACAAGGAAAAGTGGTTGTTAGAGGCTTTGAGGTTGTAGCCTTAAAGCCCGTGTAGAAAATATAGCTCTTCATTTCATTACTAATCTTCTTATATGTCAGATCCAGTAGCAAGAGTTTTATCACCACAGCCTTGATCCAGTCCCTGTTGCTTTTCAGATCCACTGAATTAATCTTACATTTTACACTTCAACGTTTTATTTCTATTACAGATTTTCTCTAAATGTCTCCCTTTGTTGTTATTAAGAACTTGTTTATGTATTTTCTCTGTGTGTGTATTGCAAAAAAAGTCTTTAGCATTCACTCTCCCACCCTATAAAGCTGTTTTCCATGCAGATTCTTCTATCTACTTCAGAGTATCTGACAAGCCTAACAACAGTTCTCATCTGTTGACAGATTTATTTGCATTTGTAGTGCATACTTCAATGTTGTACTTCTCGGTGATTTTATAGTTACCCCTTATGGTTACCAGCTGTGTTACCTTTGTAGTGAATGTAGGTCTGTTATTGGGAACAGGTAGTGGGAGTCACCGAGGTGCCTTCTTTATTGAATCCTTTCTGTCTCTTAACAGGGGGCAGAGCTGTTGAGAGATGCCTCACTGGGTGCACGTTTCAGGGTTCATCTGATGCAAATGCTTGTTTTGAGAGAACCAGAGGTAAGCAGGGAGGACTATGTTCAAGTGTTGTCCAAGGAGTTGCTAAAACCTATATGAAATGTGCAAACACGTGCCTTCACTCTAGGCAGAGGTAAACATCACAACAAATATCACCTCCTCGCTGATCAGCGTTTGTGAGTGGAGCAAGAAAGTCAACCCCCAGAATGACTCTGACCCCCAGCACGCTGACATTGTCCTCTACGTCACCAGGTACTGAAGCTCCCTGTCCTGGGAAGGGACTGGAAACAGGGCTGACAGTGTCCAGCTATTAACGCAATGACAATGATTTGCAGTGGGTCTTCCAGCAGTTGGGCATCAGAGAGTCTTTGGAAATGGGTTGATTCTCCTGTTTGGGGTTGATTCTCTGGCCCTTAGTGTAATGCAGTTAGTCAGAGGTGCTGTTTCTTCAGTTTCTGAAGGAACTGGAATATCCCCCAAGCACTGACCAGCCAGACTTGGGCAGACACTGTGTGCTTCCAGAGCAGCACAGCCAAACCCACTGCAGCTTTTTGTGGGCAGAAGAGTCGAACAGTAACTGGAAGTGAAAACCCAATGGTATTTGCTATGGAAGATTTCTAGTGCTACTCTGACTCAGACATTTTGTCTGACTTTCAGGCTCCCTGCTCTAAATTGCCTTGGCTAAATTTGTTGAAGGCAAACTTTTCTAGAGTGTAATGGCTTTGTTTTCGTGCTCTTTTTCAAAGAGATGATGATACTGCTCTGTCTTTTGCAAATAGGATTAGGTCATTTTATTATGTTCTGCTTGTCTGATGTCATGGGGATTTTTTAATGTAGAATCACCACAAATTTTGAACAGTGGGCACTTGTGGGACCTTGCTACAATCTTGCCCCATGGAGCTCCATGTGTCAAAAGAAATGTTAGGTAGCTGGCAAAGTTAGATCAGGAAAGTGCAAATAAATTCAGTTGAATGTCTAGACCCGACTTTATTAGCTGCCATGGTTCTTTGCTCTTTTCTCTGTATCTGTCTCCCTTACGTTAGGTTTGACTTGGAGTTACCTGATGGGAACAAGGAGCTACGTGGAGTAACTCAGTTAGGTGGAGTCTGCTCCTCCTTCTGGAGCTGTGTTATTACCCAGGACACTGGCTTTGACCTTGGAGTCACCATAGCCCATGAGATTGGGCACAGGTCAGTAGGAAAGCCCCAGAGCAGCCCAGTATATTTTATTCAGGTAAAAGCATTCCCCAGTTTAAAGGATTCTAAGGAAGGAAAAGGATCTCTTGGCATAACAGGGGGTTTCCCATAGATTATACTAAACTTTTGGAAATAGTTCCGTGCATTTCTTGTATTCCTGTGTGCTCTGTGACAATTAGAAGCTGCAAAGAGGAGAGAAAATCTTTGTGACAATTGTAGAAAGAAGCACTGCAGAAAGGGCTCAGCCCTTGCTTAGAGAAGAGAAGAGAAGCTCTGAGGAAACCCAGCCTCTGGGTTTCTTCTCAGGGCACTGTGCTGCTTCTGTTACAGTCTTGGAATTCCCCATGATGGTGAGGGGAATCGGTGCAGCAGCAGTGGTTACATCATGGGGTCAGCAGGGAACCACAACAGCATTGACCTCGCCTGGTCACAGTGCAGCCGAGAAGAGTTCCTGGCCTTTGTCAGGTAAGGGAATGGTCGAGTTCTGTGTGCCCATGTGGGAGCGGTTCCCTGTGCTGGGAGCTTAGGAGAGAGCAGGAAAAGACAAGGAATAAAATAGGACATTCTTGGAAAATGAGGAACTGTGAAAAGCTTGGGGTTTGTTTATGTCTTATCACTTGTGTCTGTTGCTGAGGTTAAACCCAGTTTGTGCTTCAAGTAACTGGAAATTACTTTGGTTAGTGACTAACATGCCTGGGCTGTGTTGGGCTTCTCAGACACTAGCTCAGCCTGGAAATTTTATTTAAAATGTCAGAGCATCTAGGTTTAAACAAGCATTGCGGGCTGTGAGCTGGCTGGGTGAGGAAAAGGCATGAGTTTCTGTTATAACTTCAGCAGCAGGGAACTGTGAGCATCTCCAGGCAGCTGCTGCAGCTAAATCCATCACAGCCCACAGTAAGCATGTGTTGTCTGGGAAAGCAACAGCCAACTCCCAGAATGAAACTCAGCACAAGTTTGCAAACATGTCATTGTCCTTACTGCCCACAGCTGGGAAAGTGATATTTTTTGTGTTTCTATCAGCACAGGCCAAACAAACTGCTTAAATGACCTGCCGGACACAGACGGCAGCATCCCTGGATGGAAGCCTGGCTTGTACTATGGAGCAGATGAACAATGTAAAATAGCCTTTGGGAGCGTTGCCACAGCATGCACCTTTGCTGACAGCAATGTTGTAGGTAGAATGTTTGTCTTGCTAGGGGCAGCAGGGAAATGTTCTGGAGCCGAGATTCAGGAAAAGGGAGCTGAGGACATTTTTATTATAAAGGAGTGGAAGGTACTTTCCTGCCACAGATTTCTTGGCAAAGAACAAACCTTTGACAGGCTTTTAAAATGCTTCCCTTCTCTCTGTCACCTCCTACGTCCACATAAGTCTCCTTTAGGGTTTGCACAGTACCCAGAGCCTTCTGTCCAAACAGAGTGGTGGGTACATCTACTCAGGGTCCTGTCTTAGGGAGCTCTCGATCATTGGATTCCTTTCCCCATGTCTGAGAAATGCAGCATGGCTAATAGCTGCCATCTGGGTATGTTTTGTTAATGAGGAAGCATTAAGGTGGGTGAAAAATTAATTGCTTCAGTTGATCATCTTCGAGCATTACAGCTGGTGGTGATGGTCTTTTGACATGCCCACAACTTTTGCCCAATAGCAGGAGAAATGAGGGAACTTGCTTGCTTTGTTGGGTAGCTGTGGGGAAACCAAACGTCTGGGACACGCACCATTTAAACGGAGCAGCTTTTGGGACTGCAGTGTTGGTGAGTCTAAGTGACTCCCTGAACTCCCTGATTTTCTCGTCACACCAGGACATATGCGGAGTTCTCTCATGCCATGTACAACCAGGAGACAAATCTAGCTGTACTCGGCTTCTTGTTCCCCTCTTGGATGGTACTGAGTGTGGAATCAATAAGGTAAGGAAGCTGCTGATCTAACGATCAGAAGTGGGTGTGGGTGCTGTGGAGCTCATTAGATAGCAGGACGTTGTTGGCAGCTGGAAGGTACATAGCACTCTGCCCCTCGGTCAGGGAGCTAAGGCTAGACACAAACCAGTACCAGCTGATCTTGGTGTTTCTACCTTGTCTGTATCTCTCGAGTTGCTTTGCAGGTCGATAGCCTGATATCTGAGCTCTCCTCCAAAGCCTTGCTTTCTTCTTGAAATGACTTGTCAGCTCTTAGTTTTAACCCCAGTCTCACCTTAGACTATAGTTAGGAATAAGACTCTTCTAGCCTCTTGTGAGCAGGTGCCTCATTCATCTTGGGATTCTCCGTTACAGTCTGGCCTGCAAAAAGATGGGGAGTTGTGCCACTCCTGTAGATCCCAGCTCTGCTGGGTTCACTGTGGCGCTGCTGCCAATTTTGTATATTCTTGGCCTTAGTGGTGCTCCAAGGGACAGTGCAGCTCTCTGGAGGAACTGAACCCCATGGCTGTAGTCCATGGGCAGTGGTCGGGCTGGAGCCCCTTCTCCTCCTGCTCCCGCAGCTGTGGAGGTGGAGTTGTGATAAGGCAGCGGTTCTGTAACAACCCCAGGTAAGAGGTGGGGAGTTGGGGAATTTGTAATGCGTCCTGACTGATTCAGGGCTATAGGGTCTGAGTCTTGCTCTTTGCTTGGGACAAACCTGCCTCTGTTGAGGAATACTTTTCCTGTCATTTCCAGGCCTGC